CCTGATATGATCAGGAGTAAGCTAACCTAATCTGCAGATAGGATTAAGATCATCCCCTATCCAAATATTGATTTGGATTGGGATAACTCCTAATTAGGAGGTTTCTTAATCAAGAAGTAAAGAGGAGAAACCCTAAGAGAAAATAATCAGATTTCGAACCTAGGGTTGTGTGCAAGAAATCATCCTACAAATTGAGATTAGATCTCATACACATTCCAGAGAGAAGAGAAGCAATTCAGCCATCTTCGTCCCAGGAGTTCTCCTCCAGCCGCCGCCATTCTTTCTTACAAGATTTGATCTTTGAAAAAGAAAGAAGTCAAGAAATTGGTTCTTGACATCAGTTTTGTAGAAAAGACTAAAAAGATCTGGTGCTCAGAGTTTCCAGTGGATTCTTGCGAAAGATTTAGTGTGTAGGACGCACCCTGCTGGTTCCATTCCACATACAACTGCGTCATCTTCAGCAGGAGCGGATCTTGGTATCCTCTTTGGGCGTGAACACCAACTTTGGGAGATACTGCATCTCTGGATCAGGTATAATTCCTCCCATCCCTTTTGGTTCAGATCTGGTTTGATTATGGTTCAAGTAGGATCCTTGAATATTGTATTCTTAAATTAGGGAATATGATTCCCAGTTGGAAGAAGCTAGGAAAATTTTTGAAATTTGCCCACCCATTCCGCAACTTTCATGGCGTCCATTAAATGGATCCTACCATTCTTTTAGCATGATCGATGCTGCTAGTGGAAGAGCCTTAGTGGATAATACCCTCGAGGCCGCAAGAAATCTGATTGCAAATATGTCGACCAACTCTCAACAGTTTGGCTATAGGCTCAACCCTCCAGCAAAGCATGCTAGTGAGGTAAACATCTCTTCCCTAGAACAACAAATTGCAAGTCTGACCTCTCTTGTCCGTCAAATGGTTGTAGGTAACATGCAAATGGTGAAGGCTTGTGGGATATGTTCAACAGTGGGGCATCCAACTAATATGTGCCCAACTCTTCAAGAAGAGCCTGTTGAGCAAGTAAATGCAGCAGGTGGTTTTTCGGGGCAATCGCAGAAGAAGTATGATCCCTATTCTAGCACGTAAAATCCGGGATGGAGGGATCACCCCAATCTTAGCTATGGGAACCCGCAAAATCACCCTACTTTCCAACAATATTAGCCATACCCTCCAAGACAACAGCCAGGCCAAACTTCTAATTCAGGTATGTCCTTAGAAGATATTGTTAAATCTCTTGCCACTAACACTTTGTTATTTCAACAGGAGACGAAACAATTTCAGCAAGAGACACGGGCCAGTATCCAACGTTTGGACAATCAGATGGGCCAAATGGCGACGACAATTAGTCAGTTAGAGGCACAAAGTTCGGGGAAATTACCCTTTCAAACGGTTGTGAAACCAAAAGAAAATGTAAGTGCCGTCGTTTTGAGAAGTGGTAAAGAGTTTGAGACTCCAGCAAGAGCTGCCCCCGCAGTGTCGAATCAAGGAAAGGAGAAAGACATCATTCCCGATGATGATGAAGTACCTAAGCGTAAGTTTCCTCCCCTTTCTGTTTATAAACCAGTACCTCCTTTTCCTAATGCTTTAGTAGGAACGAGAAAAGATGAGCAGTTCAAAGAATTTTATAAAACTTTCCGTAGATGCGAGGCAAATACCCCCCTTTTTAATGCTCTTAAACAAGTACCTCATTATGCTAAATTCCTGAAAGAGTTGTGTACACATATGAGGAAACATAAACTAAAAGGATGCGAAAAGGTGAGAGTAGGGAAGAATGTTTCTGCGGTCATTAAAAAACTCCCTACAAAGTGCAAAGATCCAAATATGTTCACTATCGCCTACATGATAGGTAACACTAGAATTAAGAAGGCCATGTTAGACTTAGGAGCTTCTATTAATGTCATGCCATATTCTATATATGCTTCTTTGAAACTTGGTCATTTAAATAAAACTAGTGTAGTGATTCAATTGGCTGATAGATCTAATGCCTATCCTAAGGGTATAGTTGAGGATGTTCTTGTGAAAGTAAATGATTTGGTTTTTCCTGCTGATTTTTATGTGCTTGATATAGATAATGGTGATCAAACCACTCCTATTTTGCTAGGAAGACCATTTTTGAAAAATCCAAAACTAAGATAGATGTTTATAGTGGCACACTCACCATGGAATTTGATGGTAAGATTGTTAAGTTTAATATTTATGATGCCATGAAATATCCTACTAATGATAATCATGTTCATTCTATTGATATGATTGATTCTTTATCACAGGAAGCTTTTAAACTTAATGCGAAGGATGGGTTGGAGATTGCCATCAGTAAGCATCTTGAGAAAGAGGGGCCAATGTTGAATGCTGATTTGCAAGAAACGATTGCAACATTGAATGGTTTTCCAGAGTTATAACAGTCAGGTAATGCACCTATCGAATGTTATTCTATGTTTATATATATGATTGTTTCATTTGGTTGCTAGGAAGGCCTACTAGTTTATTATTCATTACAATCTATTGCTAGATTAGATATCAAATCCATAATTGTTTGATCCCTCTAATCTATGAAGCAACTAGGGTTTAATGATTTGTTGTGTCAGAAATTGTTAGATCCTAGGAAGAACAGTCGACTAAATTAAATGCAACCACTTGTGCTTGTGTCGTTTAGCTTCATCGACCTCTAATGCTTAATGACCGCTTGTGCTTGTGTTGTTTAGCTTCATCGATCTCTAATGCTTAATGCTATTGCTGGATTAAATCTTTAACGCTTGTTTAGGGGTTTTTCAGTAGTAAGGGTTAAGAGGATCGCTTGTTTTCCGATTAACTGATAGTAGGAAGATGCGGGAAATTAATTCCTATGATGAATATTCAAAGTCTGAATTGATTTATCTTTGCATCGATGAGCAGTAGTGTAATTCTGATGGTGGATGTTATCCTAGACCAGGATTTGTTCCCAAATTAATTTCAGCACTCAAAGTTACCTAAATTCTCATTTAAATTGCGTTCTTTATTAATTCCGATTTTCCTTATTTTAAATCTGATTTTCGTTACATACACCCCCTCCATCTTTGATTCACGTAGCACATAATTTGGGTTAAATACTCTTTGTGGGAATGATCCCTACTCGCACTACTACATTCCATCTTTACGAGTAGAGGTTTATTTTTTGGTGCCTACGACAACACACCAGTTACATACACCCCCCTCCATCTTTGATTCACGTAGCACATAATTTAGGTTAGATACTCTCTATGGAAATGATCTTTACTCGCACTACTGCATTTTATTTTTACGAGTATAGGTTTTATTTTTGGGTGCCTACGACAGCACGCCAAATTTTGGCGCCGTTGCTGGACAATTTTTCTAATCAATTTTTGTGCTTTTCGTGATCATTATTTAGTTTCTTGAAAAGTTTTTAGCGTAGAGTATTTTCTACCTTATTTATTGATTTATTTATTCATTCCAGATTTTTTTTATTTTTATTTTTATGGTATGTCGTTCATGGTTTATTAGGGTTTCCTTGATTTATGCCTGTAACTCGATTCTCTAAGAAAGGTGACTTGCAGTTCGATCCAAAAATAGAGGGAACTATGCACAAGTTAAGGAGGGAAGCTCGGAGTCATTCTGAAGAGAACGATCCTGATCTTGATTCCTTATCTATTAATGGTTCTGATTTGAGAGAAGAGGACATCATGGCTGGAAACCGAACCTTGAAAGAGCTTGTTGCACTTGATTTGAATCAGCAACCGTTATGCATAACTTTTCCTGCTTTAGATGCTGATGCTAATTTTGAATTGAAATCTGGACTAATACATCTCTTGCCCACTTTTCATGGTCTTGCAGGTGAGGATCCTCACAAACATTTGAAGGAGCTGCCTGTAGTATGCACGAGTATTAAACCCATGGGGGTAACTGAAGAGCAAATCAAATTGAGAGCCTTTCCGTTTTCTCTGTAGGATTTGGCCAAGGATTGGCTCTATTATCTACCCTCCGGGAGTGTTACCACATGGAACAAAATGAAGAGGCTATTCTTGGAGAAGTACTTCCCAGCTTCAAGGGTGGCCAACATCAGAAAGGAAATTTGTAGTGTAAGGCAGTACAACGGGGAGTCCCTACAGGAATACTGGAAACGTTTTAAGAAATTATGTGCAAGCTGCCCCCATCATCAAATCAGCGAGCAGCTACAGATCCAATATTTCTATAAGGGTTTTCAACCCACTGATAGGAGCATGATTGATGCTGCTAGTGGAGGAGCTTTAGTAGACAAAACTCCCGATGCAACGAGAAATCTGATTGCAAATATGGCGGCCAATTCTCAACAGTTCGGCTATAGACTCAACCCTCCATCAAAGCATGCTAATGAGGTAAATATCTCTTCCCTAGAACAACAAATTGCATGTCTGACTTCTCTTGTCTGTCAAATGGTTGTAGGTAACATGAAAATGGTAAAGGCTTGCGGGATATGCTCGGTAGTAGGGCATCCAACTGATATGTGCCAAACTCTTCAAGAGGAGCCCGTTGAGCAAGTAAATGCAGTAGGTGGTTTTCTAGGGCAACCACATAGGAAGTATGATCCCTACTCGAGCACATACAATCCGGGATGGAGGGATCACCCCAATCTCAGCCGCACCCCATTAGACAACAGTCAGCCAAAACTTCAAATTTAGGTATGTCTTTAGAGGATATTGTCAAATCTCTTGCCACTAACACTTTGCAATTTCTACAGGAGACAAGGGCCAGTATCAAACATTTGGACACTCAGATGGGCCAGATGGTGACTGCAATTAATCGGTTAGAGGCACAGAGTTCGGGGAAATTACCCTCTCAAAAGGTTGTGAATCCAAAAGAAAATGTAAGTGCAATCATTTTGAGAAGTGGTAAAGAGGTTGAGGCACCAACAAGGGTAGTCCCCGCATTGTCGAACCAAGAAAAGGAGAAAGACATCATTCCCGATGATGATGAAGTACCTAAGCATATGTTTCCACCTCTTTCTGATTATAAAAAGCTACCTCCTTTTCCTCATGCTTTAGCAGGTTCTAGGAAAGATGAGCAGTTCAATGATTTTTATGAAACTTTTCGTAGATGCGAGGTAAACATTCCACTCTTAGATGCTATTAAACAAGTACCTCGTTATGCTAAATTCCTGAAAGAATTGTGTACACATAAAATGAAATAGAAACTAAAAGGATATGAAAAGGTGAGAGTAGGGGAGAATGTTTTTGCAGTTATTCAAAGAAAACTCCCTACAAAGTGCAAAAGATCCAAGTTTGTTCACTATCCCTTGCACGATAGGTAACACTAGAATTGAGAAGGCCATGTTAGACTTAGGAGTTTCTATTAATGTCATGCCATATTCAATATATGCTTCTTTGAAACATGGACCTTTGAATAAGACTGGTGTAGTGATTCAATTGGCTGATAGATCTAATGCCTATCCTAAGGGTGTAGTTGAGGATGTCCTTGTAAAAGTAAATGATTTGGTTTTTCCTGCTGATTTTTATGTGCTTGATATGGATAATGGTGATCAAACCACTCCTATTTTGCTAGGGAGGTCATTCTTAAAGACATCCAAGACAAAGATAGATGTTCATAATGGCACACTCACCATGGAATTTGATGGTGAAATTGTTAAGTTTAATATTTACGATGCCAAGAAATATCCTGCTGATGATAATCCTATCTGTTCTATTGATGCAATTGATTCTTTGGCATAGGAGGTCTTTGAACTTGACAGGAAGGATGGATTAGAAGTTTCCATCAGTAAGCATCTTGAGGAAGAGGAGTCAATGCTGAATGCTGATTTGCAAGAAAATGTTGTAGCATTGGATGATTCTCCAGAGTTACAACAGTCAGGTAATGCTCCTTATGGTATGTTGTTGATTTCTGACTGGAAGCCTTTACCCTCTGTTTTGCAGGCCCCCATTCCAGAATTGTAGCCTCTCCCTAGTCACCTCAAGTACGTGTTCCTTGGAGACGAAGAGACATTACTAGTGATCATCTCTAGTAGCCTTAGCGCATCACAAGAAGAGCAGCTTGTGTAGGTTATCAAGGAGCATAAGACGACTATCGGTTGGACGATTGCGGATATCAAAGGAATCATCCCGTCTACATGCATGCATCACATCTTATTTGAAGAGCAAGCAAAACCTTCCTGTCAACCACAAAGAAGGCTGAACCCACCCATGATGGATGGAAGGGGAAAGCACCGAAAGTTGCAACCACAATTGTTAGAGGATCCAGTTTATGGTGATTAAAAACAGGGAAGTTTGTTTTTTCTTTTTCTTCTTGTTTTTGCATTTATAGTTTAGTTATTTCCACCTTTTCTTTGCATTTTACCTTGCATTGGGGACAATTTAAGTTTTAAGTGTGGGGGAGGGGATTTAGGTTGCGTTTTAAATTTTGATTTAGGTTGTGATTTTCTACATTTGACCAAAAAAAAAAAAAAAAACTCAACTCTTTTGGAATCAATTGAAACAGTGTTCTGGGAAAACTCTTGTGAACTTAGTAAAGTAATATGATTAGGGAATATAGGATTCACCTGAAGCCATCCCCTTTTTGAGCTAGTCCTAAATCCAGGTGTAAGTAAATAGGGTAAATAATTTACTATTGCTATAATTGGTAGGACGGAGCATAAAATGGACCTACTAGACAATAATTCAAATAGTGGGATGGAGCGTAAAATGCACCCATTGACGTCCTAAAAGTGAGATGGAGCATAAAATGCACTCACTTCCACCAAGAAAAAAAAAGAGGAGATAAAAAAAAAAAATTGTTTTCCCTAGTTTACTACCTGGTTTGTAGTAGTAAAAAATTGGATTGGTTGATGGATGAGTCATGTATAACTTGGTCGTGTTGATTTAAAGTTTGTAATAGTTAACCTAGAATATTTGTGGAAAAAGATGAAGGAAAATTGAGTTTAAAGTTTGGTAGAATAGTTTGCTTAATTTCTGTTTTGCTCGAGGACGGGCAAGGTCTAAGTGTGGGGGGATTTGATGAGAACGAAACATATCATATTTTTCTCTCTTAATATTTAGTCTTTTATATTTATTTTATGCCCAAATGCACTCGTTATTCTTATATTTTGGTTTAGGGCACGGAAGGAGGCGTTAAGTGAAAAACAAGGCTAATCGGGTAATTTTACACAGTCTTGGCGCCGTGTGGTAGATTGAGCATAACTCTCTCATTCGGACTCCAATTGAAATGATTCAAGATGCGTTGGAAAGATAAGGAAAAGCTCTACAATATTCATGTTTTGAGTTTTGATAGAAGTGGAATGCATCGAGATCAAAATCGGGACCGAATTCTCTTAAACTGCACTGGTGACGTGTTGAAGACATTCCTTAGCCTTGAAACTTTCATCCGCGAATTCACCACTCTTCCACTCACACAAGAACTTCGTTCTATCTTATTTTTG